GGCGGGGAGCAAGAGCGCAGGCGCTGACCTCCAACAAAAAGAAGAAGTAATTTTATCGGAATACAAGAGTTTTTTCTTTTCGAAATCCGAATAGAAAGGGTACAGGTTGTATTCGAATACAACCTATAGGAAACTGTGATATTCGAGAAAAGTGCACCCGCACCGTTTCAATTTCAAAAAAGGCTTAAGGACCACGGCCTCCTCAGCCTCCTCCGCGCAGCTACCGGTCCTACGCGGTCCTGGCCCTTGCAAGGTCCCGAAAACTCAAAATGCCCACCCTCCCGACGACCACCGACGTTGAAATCTTGATTGACGTTGAAATGTCTCCGGGGGGAAAACGCAACTCTGACGGGCTGCGAACACGGATAATGACAGTGCGTTCTAGGCTCGGGAGAGAGGAGGGGCAAGGTGCCGCCAACGGCGCTGGTGTAGCGCTCGTGGCCCGCACCCGCAGGCCGAAACTCGCTCGGAGTTGTCAGTAGGCCCATCGACCAGTGCTCGCGCTACCGTCGGTGCGAGGTACTGCGGTAACTGTGTCGGGGCAAATACCCTGTTAGGGTATTTGCTGAGGTTTTTCAATGTCGGATGCAGTCCAAGTCTTTCGTTGAATTGAAGGACTGGATGAGACTGACGTTGTCAAACGTTTATTGAAACCAAACCTACGAAATTGTTTAGGATGGGAAGGAGTAGGTCTCGCATCATATTTGAAAGGTGGCGGCACAACACCCCTTCCACTCATAGGCACCAAGGGCCAAAGAACTCACACACCTGTGCGAATACGCAGTGATCTACTACCAAGACATATTAACGTCAAGATACAAGGGGCTAGCGTAGTAAACAACTTGGATGAGGAGAGTGATCACTGGAATAACACGACGGTCAGAATCTCACCTACGGGTCGACTTGATTTAGACCGCCCAATCACGACAGAGGAAGTCCGAGAAGCTGTAAAAACTATGGCTAAGGGCAAGGGCCCGGGTGACGATGGCCTCCCTGTGGAGTTATATCTGACAATTTGGAATGAGGTGGGGGGAAGCCTGGTTGAAATTTACAACGAGACCTTGTTGGGTGCAAGGTTGTCGGAGAACATGTGCCATGGTATTATCTCAGTGTTGTTTAAAAAATGGGATTGTGCAGAGATTCGGAATTGGAGACCGATTTTTGTACGAGCGTGTCCTACAAGCTGCTTGAAAAAATCCCGTTTAGAAGGTTGGGGAAATACCTTTCATCACTGGTATTAAACGACCAAGCAGCATTTGTACAAGGCAGGCAGGTCCATCTTCGATAATATAGTTATTGTCACTGAGACTCTGGAGATTGTATAGATAGACTCCCTGAACATAGTGGTTTTACTGATGGACCTCGAAACGGCATATGGCCGTCTAAACTG